CAGAGGCTCCTTGGCAGCTCCTGCTAAAGCACCGCGCGGAGCAAGGCAGGAAAACGGAGGCGGGAGAAGGGAAAGAAAATACGGAGGGGGAAAAACATCCCCAACGCTTCTTGCAAAGCCGCCCCGAGGCCACCATGCTCAGCCACGCTGCCGGCACCGTGCTGCTGGTGCTCGCTCTCTGCGCCCTCCTGGAAGGCGGTGAGTCCCAGGCTGGAGGGGGCTCGGTGTCCCTGGGACGCATGGGGCTGCGCGGGGCTCCAGGTGTCGCGCCGCGATGGAGGGCACAGCTGGGGTTGCTGCTCGGTTGGCGCCGTTTTGCTCCTGCTCACGGGGGCTGCTGCTCCTGGGGTTTTATGCAAGTCCGTTCTGGTCCTGCAGCCTCATCAGCAAGGCTGCCCGTGCTCTAAAACGTATTGCAATCAGCATAAATGCGTGCTGGAGGTGCAGCTGTGGAGCTGATGCACCGCCAGGCACGCTGGTGCTCTTGCACAGACCCCAAGACTCACGCGTTCCTCCTGCTGCTGCAGGTAGGGGCCACTCTGCCCTGGATTCTCACCGTGCCACAGCCAGCGCCACGCACCCGAGGACCAAGAGATGTTCCTGCAACAGCTGGCTGGATAAGGAATGCATTTACTTCTGTCACCTGGACATCATCTGGGTCAACACACCAGGGTGAGCATGAACACAGTGTGCTTGGGGACACAGTTGCTGATGAGCGTGTAACTGGCCTTTCTTATCAAGGATGAGGATAGGTGAGAATGAAGGAGAGAAAGTGCCCCAGTTCTGTGAGATTCTTGCAGCACCTGCTCCGCTGAGCGTGGCAAGCTCAGCCTTTCCCAATTTCTGGAAAGTTGGTGCTTCTGCTCAGGATTTCTAGTATCCCCTGGAAGGGAGAGGGGAGGAAGAAAGTGCAGGATGCTGCCTCCTCCCGGATTATCTTGTATTGAAATTCGTACCTCGGCAAGGTGAAAGTAACACCAAGGTGTTGGAACTTGCAGCAAGCCGTGAAGGTTACTTTTCCCTCTCGCAAATCGCAACCCTGATTGCTGACTGCCAGTAGGGTTAATTAGGCAGCGCTGGGTTGGCACCGAAGCTGCGTGGCTGCCAAGTCCTGCCCTCAGGAATGCTACAGCAGATTTCCAGGCAGCTTCAGACCAATGGCCGTTGCTTTGTATCAAAACACACGCACTCAGGTGTGGTTATAATTGTGCTCGCTAATGCGCAATTACAACTAGCTGCTTGCTCTGCGAATAGCTGCCAACCCCAAACATGGGGAGAATAGACTGTGCTCGAGGAGAGGTGGCTCTGCAAGTGTCCTGTGATCAGAAAAGTCTGTTGTGGCCTTCAGATATCTTGATCTCTAATATTTCCTGTGCATGAAAAGTGCATGGGGTGGTAGGGAGTGGGAAGCCCCAACTCTTCTGTCCTTGAGAAAGTGGCTGATTTTTGCTAGAAGTGGCTGGGCTCCTCGTGCCCTTGAGTGCTAGTTTGGCCTGGGGGGGCAGCACTGGAATGGGTGTCTTAGCTGCAGCAAGGAAAGCAAAATCCACTGGCAACCCAGTGTGTCCCATGACAGTCTCCCGAGGATGGAAGGGTGGGTAAAACAGTAGGTAGGAGAGGAGCTGAATGTTAAAGGCTTGGAAATATTGGTGGCCTTTTCACCTTATGTTTATAGATGAGTCTCTTATTATTATGGTACTGGCTTGGCTGCCTTCCAAGTTTGTGTTATAAACCTATGGGCCAATAAAGTTAGCTGCATAGCTGATTTCTTTTGTTTTGAACAGACACACCGCTCCCTATGGCTTGGGAAGCCCGCCAAGGCGCCGCAAGAGAGCCCTGGGCAGGTGCGAGTGCTCGCACTCGAGGGACAGCATCTGCGCCGCCTTCTGCCAGCCAAAGCCCAGGTAAGTCCAGTGGGCCTGGGGCACCTTCGGGTCTCGCTGCCATCGGGGTCTGGTTGCCACCAGGGAGCCCAAACTTAGTCAATCTATGAACTCTTATTGGGTGGCTCTTTGCAAAGGGCTAGAACTTGTCCAGTGGCTCTCATACCGCAGGCAATGTGTCACCTGCCCAGAATGTTTTGGCTGTACAGTAGACTCTTTAGTGGTTCATGTGAAGCAATGTCACCTCCATCCCTCCTGGTGCCAGGAGGCCGAGGAAGTGCTGGGTGTGCTTTAGGGAAGGGAGATGAGAGCAAAACATCAGGAGGTGGGAGAGCAGAAGGTACAAAGCTGGCCTGGAAACACTAGGCATTGCTCTGGTGGGAGAAAGGCTTCAGGAGAAGAGCACGGCTGGGAGCTGGGGCTCAGTGGTCAGGTATCTTCTATGCTTCTCCATAGCCTGCTCTCTCTAATGCATAAAGGCATAAAGTAAATCTCACTCCAGCCAGCAGTATACCGGCATGCTTACATGGTGGAGGAGTGGGCTCAGAGTTACCGTAGAGATCTGTCTTTGATTTCATATCAAAGGAATAATTAAAAAAAAAAAGCCATTATATGTTATTATGAATTGTGTGGGGTCTGGCCAAAAAAAATGACAACACTAAATGTGATCTATAAGTAACCGCAAGCAACCATTCAAAGAAAACATGTCATCAGGGATGTCAGAGCAGTGCTCCTCCTGGTACTTGATATTGTCATGGCTGGATGTGTCTAATGTGTATCTTTCCTTGCTTATTAGGGACCTCCAGAGTGTGAAGCTCCCAGCGAGTTCTGGAGCGTCGAAGAAGACTCTGCAGAGCAGTGACATGAGGTCTTCCCAGCATGGTGTGCTGAGAGCTCTCAGGTGAACACGACCTTCCCTCACAAACTCTTTAAAATCTGAGGCTGTGACTCCAGACTGTAGTTTCTACTCAGATTTGACCCAGTTTCTCCCTGTGGTCTTTATTGAAGTTAGTGGGCTTGATGCTTTCTGTTCCATTTATAAAGGATTGGAGGCTAAAGGCTAAGGGAACAAGGGTCACTAGCCTCCTCCAAAACTGGAGAAATATTATGAAAAATATGATTCTTCATTGGAGTGGGGGGAAGTTCCTCTGCTACAGAACAGGTAAATAGGTGATGTACAAGACCGATGGTCCACACAAGAGAACAGATTGGGAAGCACTTCCCACTGTGGTCCCATTGGACCACAGGAAATAGCTCTTCTCACATTGCAGAACTGGATGGTGGAAGTTATTGCTGGAAGGTGTTCGGACTCAAGAAGTATAAATAAGTTAAAGCAAGCTGGGAAATTCAAGGAGGACTGGCCCACTGGCTGTAGTCAGACCAGATGCTTTGGGAGCAGTGTCTGGCGAGCAGATCTTGAAGTAATACTTAGGGTACAGCAGAGCATTATCCTCCTCTAAACCTCCATCACTGACTGCTAGTAGAAACACGATTTTCTTATAGTTAGATTTCTTCTGTAAGTTAATAAAGCCACAATTAGATTTTTTTTTCCCTCTTCCTTCCTTCCCTCTCCATCATCTGCATTGCAAAAGAGCTTGGTGAACATTAGGTAAATACAATGTGGACTATTGTTGAGAGGTAAGAGAGTGGACGGGAGACTGAATGTGTTGTCTCTTCTGTTTGCAGGGATCTTGCCATGACCAATTTGCAGTTTCGCAAACAGCAGCACCACTCTCAGAGGAATGCCCAGCCAACAGTTTTGCCTTGGAAGAAAAACATCTGGAAGAAAAAGAGATAAGAAACAGGTGAAAACCAAGTTCACCAGAAGAATTCGGAGTCCTGTGGGTGCCACTAACTCCGCTGTTGGTAGTTAGAGCTGAAGGAATGGCCATAAGCAGAAGGGGGAAGAAGTGGAAGTCTCCATGCTCCTGTTGCGTGAACCAGTACTGCATTCACTCCAGAGACTGTTGTAAAGGGAAAACAGAATCTCTCTATACAGTCATAGATGTGTTATGGAGCTGAATTGTGCCTTCTTCGATCAGGCAAGGGTCTTACTGGTAGAGTATCAGCTAAACTCCGCACTGGATACCTAGAGGGATGGTCAGCCCACCCTGGGCAGTTGAATCACATACAAAGCAAACTGCTATGTGCAGTTCTGGACCTGGCAGCACTGAACTCCCATGTCACAGGCCTGGTCTACTCTGCCTTTGAACCATGTTTGAACATGGTTCCAGCTTGACTCCGTTCAAACATGGTTTGGCTGGCCATTGTAGACGGGGATAAACTGACTCCAGTAGGGCCTGCCCAGGCCCATCTTTGTTCTTTTTTTTTTTTTTCTCTTACTTATGAGACCGTGATGTGCATATGAATGAGACTCCCATGATAAAACAGCTCCCAGCTCTTACAATAATGAGTCTTCTCAAAGTCTGAAAGCCAAGTGAGTAGTCAGTGGCATTCTCTGGCTAAACCATTAACTTGAGGACCATCCTTAAGTGGTTCTTGTTTAGATGGAGGATAGCTTGTTTACATCTGAGCTTGCATCAAATCCAAGCATGACCCCAGCCCCCGGGGTGCAGAGGCCACAGCAATGGGGAGGCTCAAGAGCAGTTGTGTTTCTGTAGCATCTCCTGCCACAGCTGCAACCTGGGGAAAGAGCCTTGCTAGGTTAGGTGCAGAGCCAAGCTGCTAGTCTGAGTGAGTTCAGTGGTATGAATCTATCTTATCTCCTTAGACACATCCCTTGTGGAGCAGAGAACTTCTACCTCTTAACCCAACATTCCAGCTTGCTTTCAGCTCTGCCTGAAAGGAAAGGCAAGGGGCAGAGAAGATGGGTGGTGGGAAAATAGCACGCAGAGGCTTGCTTGCTGCTTTGCTTAGATCAGGTCTCTGAGTCAGACACTAATAAATGACCAGCCTGAATAGGATGTCACTAAGGGAAGTGCATCCTGAATAGAGAATGCGTGAGATAAGGGGCAGCTGGGTGGGATTAATGTGGAGAAAAGGATCACAAAGATGAGAGCATGGCACCGTCTGCACATCCTTAGAAAGGGATGGGTTTAAACAAAAGCCAAAATCGTGGCCACTTTGCCAGGCCTTGAGCTGCTGGCCCAGAGGAAGGGCAGGGATAATATGGGAGAAACAGTCCTGAGGCTTTGGAGCTGCATTACAAATGCACTTTCATTTGCCTGGGTGGATTAACTTCTATTCTAAAGTACACTGCAACTGTCATCTGGTTAGTGCAGATAAATAATTGCTCTCCTTGAACCACCGTTTGGTCCCCCTTGCTGCCCAATCCAGTATTACACATGAGCATCTTAAAAGGCTGCTTGAAGTTGGTGGTGGACCATTATCTGTGGCTGTTGCAAGTGTTGTCCCATTGGACGTACAAAATATTTCTTTAATTTTATTGTAAGCCCTAGAGGGGGAGAAAATGAGACCGACTGATTGTATCATAAATGAAACAACAGACAAATCATTTGGTCCCCAATGCTGCAGAGAAACTTTTTCTATTTGACCTTCTGAAGGTTTCAATCATTCTAAAACAAAATCCTGAAAGGGTTTGTTCCAAAGGAAATTTTGCACATGGTTTAATGTGAGCCTAGTAATTTAAAATAAAACTACTGCTCTAAAGTACTATGTATATCCCCTTGTGTGTGTATGATGTCTCTGCTTTTAGTAACTTATTGCACACATTCCATATGTAGCATCCTGACATGTGTATATTTATTTAAATCTATTGGTTTTACATGATAATTTTTAAACTTTAATTTGTAATAAATGATGACAAAAGTCAATACTCTTCTTGCTTATTACATGTCTGGGTGGTGGTGGCTGGAGCAAAGGAAGACCGGATGGACAAAAATACTGTGGAAGTGGGTGGGTTTGCAGAGGTAGGTGAAAATCAGTGAAAACGGGCATGCAAGGATATTTCGTAAAACATCCTTGGCACTCTCGGTTCATAGCGAATTCACCTAGCTGATCTAAGCTAAAAATAATAATAAAAAAAGAAATAGCTTGTTCGTCTCTAGATGTTTATGAGAACATAGATATAAAATGATCCTCAGCCTGGGGTACTATGAAAAACTACAGATGCTGAATTCTTGTGTCAAGTGATTCTGCCTGTGATTTCCTATGGGGGAGCCTGGTGCTACAGGTCATAGCAGAAATGTGATCTTGGGCACGAGGCACACAGGATCTGAAAGACCACCTATGCTTTCCAGCCTCCACCATCTTCTAGATCTGTGTGTTGTTTTATATATATATTTTTAAGTACAGTTGTAAGAAAAACTCATCAAGCTGTGCATGAAGACCCCATAGATTTTTCTTGCTTGGGTGCAGCTGTGAGGAGGGGAGTAAAAAAACCACATTAAAATAATAACTGGTAAGGTGCCTTTTTTTTTGCATGTTTTTCACTAGTGCACATTTAGGGGCTTTGCATATCTTCCTGGGAACTGTAGGTTAAAAGTGTACAGCCCTTGTCCTTTCCTAGTGCCCAGCATCCTTGGCTGAACTGCATCTCCCATGACTCAGGACTTCCCTTTGACTTGGCTGCAGGTGAAAATCAGGTTTCTTCAGTCGTGTGGTTCTTCTGATGTGTCTTTAAATGCCATGACAAAAAAAAAAAAAAAAAAAAAAAAAAAAAAAAAGACCTAAAATGCCAGGTAAATTGCCAGATAAACTGAAGGGATAAAACCATACTTTGCAATAAAGAACAGGCTTAAATTTCCTATATAGGAAATCTAAAGTGCTATTCTTCCTCCTTCTGCTCAGCTTTGTCCCAGAACCAGCCTGAAAATTTTGCCTGTTTTCTGCAATTTCCAAGGTATCCTGCTTCAGCTGATGTCAGGTGGTGTGAATGAGGAAGCTGAGGGCTGGTGGCATTTCATTCATTTCCTGGGAAAGATTTCCACATCGTCAAGAATGTCTATTTAAGCGAGTGTTAGTCAGGCCCTGCCTCTTTTGTCTTTCTTAAATTACAGCAGAAGTATGACCTTAGTCAGCCTGAAAGAAGGTTTGCCTTCCCCTCCTTGCAGAAAATGAAACCATGCCTATTTGGACAGCCTAAGGCCTGACCATCTCTAAGGGTAATAATATGAGATGAATTCTCTGGGGAGAAACACTGAAAGTCAGCATTTCTGGAAAAACAGGATAAAAATACCTCAGGCCAGGCATCCATAAAAGGCCTTCAAGGCCCTGAACCCAAAACCTGGGAGAGCTCCTCATTAGGCTCTCAAAAGGTCCTACAAAGCACTGGGGACTGGTTGAGCTTGGTAGTAACGTCATGGCCTTGCCTGGAGTAGCTCCAATGTCTGTACTGCATCCAGTCCTTTGGGTACAATTTTAAATACAAGAACTAAGTTAAGTATCACCAGTAAAAGAGAAGGGAGATGCTTAAAAGAATGTTAATTAAGGTTGAAATAGGAGAAGATAGGACTCTCTTTTTAAGTTACTGAATTCAATGATAAAGGTTAGGTCCAGTAGTTCAAAGAAGGCATATCTTATAAGTTTTCTTTTATATAAAAGAAAGAACAGGATAACAAAATTTTATTAAGGAGGGAAATTCAGGAACGCAGGTAACTTCCTAGGTTATTTCTAAGTATACAGGATGCTGTGTTTTCTCGATTATGATGTTTTGCTTCAGCAATCCTTCATTTGATTGACAGTCGCCATAAATCAAGGACTCCTGTGCCCTGAGTAGGACTCTGGCATTTTTCCAGCAGTAGGAATTCTTGAGGAAGAGACTTTCTATTTAGCCTCTAAGGAGGTAATGTTCCTTCTGTATGTGGTCATTTCTGTCACCATCAGGTTAAAAAAAAAGGTTGTTTTGATGTAACTTCATCATCTCACATTTGTGGCATGGATGGATGTTGCTTGGTAGAGGATATGTTAATATAAAAGCAGAAGAGTCTTTGGTGAGGTTTGTTTGGACTGTAGCTGGCTTAAGCTCTCTGCCAGGCTTTGTTACGTCCATGGAAAGCAGAAACTGCCCACAGCAGATATCTGCTCTGCTAGATTTTCTTGCCCAGCGAGAAAATTATTTGCTCTGTTTTTCTTTGGATCATCCCTCAGAAGAACTAGGCACTAAATAATCAGACTTTGGTTGCAACAGGAGGCAAAGAGACAGTACACAATGGGCACAAGGTGATAGTTTCCCATGCGTCAGCAGTCGGTCCCGGTATCTTTGGTTTCAACACCGCTGGCAGGACCTGACCCCAGCTGGTGGCCTCACTACAACACAAGGACATCCCACCATGGGAGAAGAAGCAGGAACAGTCGCCAGCCATTCAGCTTCCCAGGGAAGTTGCAGGTAAAGAGGTTAATTCTTCACCTCCTCAAGCCCAGAGTTGGTCTAGCTAAACTTCAACGCAGGCTCAAGGCTGAGAGGTTTACCCAGGTGGACTTTCAAGCCTGTGTTTAAGTCTTTCCTCCAACGCTTACAGCTTTCTCCTCTATCTCTTTAGGACTGAAATCTCAATTGTCCTGAAGTCCCCTGTATATCTGATTCAGCTAACAGTGAGGTAGAGAACACTGAAATCCCTCCCATGAGAACCAAGTCTCAGGCTGAACTCTTAACCACTTCCTCTAAGAGGGGATTTGCACTAAAGCACGGGGCAGAGACTACGGCAGGTAGAACCAGTGTAGAACAGTTGGGTGTAAAGTTCCCCACCTGTCACACCTCCCTGTGACACTCTCAGCAGGAGCATTACATTACCTCAGAACCTCTTTAAAATCCCTTCCTCAACCTCACACCCACTCACTGATGAGTAACTGGGGGCCTCTCCCCCACCTCACTTCCATAGCAGCTTTGAGGTGACCTTACCACTCCCTCATCAAAAGGAAATAGCTTGTTCCTCATCAAGCAACAGCTTCAGAAGGCTGTCCCGTAAAGGAGAGATGGTTTCATCAGAACCCTGGAGGGAGAGGCTTCCTGAAGTGATGTGGTTGACCTAAAAACCTGCAACAGAGTAAGCCCACTCCTCAGTCTTCATCCCTGCCACACTGCTCCCTTTGCATTGGCCCTGGTCCCATCCTAAACTTCAGTGGGCTGATAGGGATCACTCAGCTAGTAGAAATCCAGTGGCGGAAGAAAGCAAGGAGGAGATTTCTTCTCGTTTAGTGACCTCCGTTGGGTCAGAGAGCTCCAGAGCTGAAAGATGAAGTCCCCTTAAGCATCTAAATACCTGGCCGAGATTCTGAGATGCGGGAGATTGCCAGAAGCATGAAGGTTTTGCAGATGTATTTTAACATAGAAACAAGTAATGGTGATTCTAGTTTCTCATCTCAGATGAGAAACGAAGGCTTGGGGTGGA